AGACAACAGTGTGTAGAGAAAACTGGGCAGCACCTATGAACTTAGAATCAAATGGTCCACAAAGAATTGGATTCGGACAAGATTATCTGAAGTCTAAACCGTCCGAAAGGTCAAAGCACATGAGGCCCATTTTTTGTACGACTGCATTTGAGGGCCCGTATCTTTTGGGCTTTTGATCAAGCTCGATTTCTTAAATTGTCTTTGCTTCGTCATCTTCATTTTTTTTAATAAATATTTTAAGTTGTATCATAAGAAATAATTATTTTTTATTTTTAAACCTATTTAATTATATATTATACAATTTAAATTCACGAACTCACACAATAGGAAGTTATTATTGAATTAATTGAGTTAGCTTTTTTTAAGCTATTTTAAGCTATCTTCTTCATTTTTTTTAATTCTTTTGAATAGTATGAGTATTTGGACATTATATATTAAATGCACTATTTTTTTTTTTTGACATGAAGAAATACAGTATAATATTAGTATCTATTCGAGAAAAGTTGAGTCTGGGACTCGACTTGCTGACTGAAGTGCGTTTTACCTGTTTCTCACTTTAGAAGCGTGGCCGCCACTATGGCCACATGGGGAAATGCTATTAAATGCGTTATTTTATAAATAAAGCACATGATTATGTAATAAGAGAATGATACATGCATTTTATATAGTTACACACTCTATTATACACTGACAAAAATTATTAGTGTATAATGGAAAACTATTAGTGTATAATGGAAGTCATCAGTTTTAATGGCATAAATAATGAAAATCATCAATTTTAATGGCACAAGTAATAAAAACCGTTAGTTTTAACGGTACAAGTAATAGAAACCATTAATGTATAACAGAATATGTAATTTTGCAGCGTGTACAAATCATTTCCCTAAATAATATCACTACAAGAAAATGGACATTTTGTAATGGTGGAATCGGTCATAAAATTTGCATCTAGAATTTAGTTAGTCACAATTCGTTATAAATATTGAGTCACTAAAATTAATAATAACTAATTTAAGCAATCATCACAAAAATCATGATTTTAGTGATAGAACAAATAGACACTATTAATACTTTATTTGTGGCGATTTTGTACATCACAATTAAAATTACTTGTGTCAAAATAATTAAACACAATATAGTATCTTATTTGTAATTTTTATATTTCATCACACAAAAAAATTATTTAATGTGATAGAAAAATCGTCACAAATAAATTTGTGACAAAAATTTTAAATTGTTAATAATTTTATCTTTTGATTAAAAAAATAATCCTAAAAATGAATTCAAATTAATTAGAGTTGATATTTGTCTGTCTTATCTCTTAAAAATTAAGAGAAAAATTTAATCCAAAACTATATCATTTTAATAAAATGCAATGAGAAATGATAAAAAATATTCTAATTCATATTTTAAAAATAA